TACTCGGCGGAGCACATGGCGCTTGCGATTCGTTTAATAATGGCATTTTTTTTTTTCCGGGAACGTTCTCCTTATATTAGATATTATTCAATAAACCATTAACCTCGGTTCCTATATGATTTACCCTGCACGATCTCCCTTATCGAGCTTGCACCCTCTTTTATTTTATTCCACTCGGTTTTTTTTTCTTTCTTTCTCTCTCTTTCCTCCTCACTTTTGGCTGCCATCGAACAATCAATTTCCTCTACTAACCCGGCATGTATATACACTGCACGTACGGCGTGCAGTATTTAAACGCAGACGGTTGACGCCTGCGGCTGTTGTCGGGGGCCCCCCGAAGTCGCGACGAAAGCTTCTTTCCGCATATCTCTCATCCATGAAGTCGGACGACGACGACGCCATACAGTATCTGACGCCGCCGGCACACTCAGACCATTGTCGGCCGCCACTATACTACGGTCGCCGCCATCGCCGCCGCAATCGGCGCGTCGCCACCATCACTCGCGCGCGCGCCGCACACGTGTGTGTGTGTGTTTGCCAGCGCCCCAACTCTTTTATCATAACGCCGCCACTGACGTCCCAAGGATTCTTCTCCGTCGTCGCCACCGCCGCCGCCGCCGTCCGTCCGGCACCGGGTCAGGACTTACAGACGCCCACCGCGTGTTCTCCCGATTGTTTTTAACCCCCGCTGTATATTATATAAATTTATTTATTTATGTGTGCAACATCATCGCTCGTGTATTGCATCCTATGCATAGCACACCCACCGCGCATCAAATTCCAATTTTTTCTTCACCTCTCCGTCACTCGTCCGCGTTAATGCGCAATATCATCTATATCCGCCGCCGCTGACACCCTTCGATCAACAACGCTAATATATTGTATTTGAACATGTCGCGCGAACGATTTACGATCAACTGCAAACATCGGGACCCGACCACGTCGTCGGCCGGCAAGTGCCGTCGCGTCGTACTCAATCACCTCCCTCGCACGTCCTACTTATATTATACTGTGTTAGCACACGTCGTCGTACTTACTCTTGGGATCATGAATAATACTTTCGGATATATATTTAGATATGAATATTTATCATACATACAGGGTTTTGTTCTGAAACGGTTGTTATTGAATTTCAAATAAATGTTGTTAAATTATAATTACTTTATAATAAAAATGTGAAATAACAACAAATAGTTGAATTTCCCCTTCGTTCATCTTGCAGAGTTCTCATAGAAATTGATATGTCACACCGATCCTGGTGACTCAAGCGTGTAAAACGGTCGACAAGCCCAAAATCGATGTCACATGTCGATTCATGTGAGAAATTTGCAAGACATTTGTTACAGGTATTCGTTTTTAGATTCGAAATAATGCTCTAAAGATAATTAGATAATACCTATGTTTTGAAGATCGAAAAAAAATTTCAAAAGATTCTCTATTTGGTCACTCCAGAGAATACGCGTATACTAGTATTTTCGACCATTTCAGGAATACTTTATATCAGGGGCGGCATACGAGCTTTTTTTATCTGTCCCGTACTATATTTTAAAATTACATCATACAATTTTAAAGTTTATCGTCTACACTCTGACTTATCGAAATAATAATTATTATTTAGTATTAAACATCGTTAAATGTCTAAATTTCATATGTTTGTATAAGTATAGCTTTCAACCATAGTTGTTCGTACCGAACTATTTAACTATATCAGTTTATTCGTATCATTCGTAACGTGCTGTCATGTGTGTTGAATTTATTATTTCCGTGTGTATAAATGCTAATTAAAATTCATATTTTGAATGACTTTTTTTTATCTATGCTTTGGCCGCTAGATTTTAATTTTCTAAAAATTGGCCCTCTAGTAACTTTGAGTTGCCCTGCTTTATATATATATATATATAAGGGATGCTGCTATAGACTCAAAATCGCTCAGGACAATCCGAACATATGCAAATACATAAAAATAAGTCAGTTGTGTTCGAGGACCCTTCGGAGCCTTCGAAAGCAAAAGAGTCGTAGAAAATTCAGATTTTTTTTAAAAAAAAAAAATATATATAAGAAGGTTGTGTGAGGTCACATCGCCAATTACACGAGTCAAATTAGTAGTGGTGATGTACACTTGTGTGTGCTGCTTATGTTTAGTAATTAGACTAGTGAACATTATATTATAATACATGTACCTAATGTTGAATCATGTGTAACCGATCGAATTTCCGACGCGATGACAGAAAGATTATATTGCTGCTAAACACGTGAAGACGCATGTAGGTTTATATAAATAAATGCGGTATGCGGTTAACATCGATAGTTGTATAAAATAGATATACCTGTGTAGATACCATACAGACATTCTGCAGTCGGCTGTATACCGAGCTATTCGAACGGTGGCGGTGTTAACCGACCAATAGCGACACCGGGACAAGTTCCTACACTTGACAATAAGCTACATATGAACAGTTAGATACGTGCAGAATTCCTGTATACACAATAAAAGTCAAAATATGTTCAAGTTCCTATTCATAAGACGCACCCGTATCGCGCAAGTTCCTACACGAATATAAAAAAGCAGATTTGTAAGATTTTATAAACTGTAAATGAAAAAAATTAATCCCGTCGATCCTAACGTGTAAAATAAAATACATTACCTCTAAATGATACATATAATAATACGTACCAATAACGTCTAATAATGTCTGGCTTCAATTATATAAAATGTTTGTATTTATTAAGATTATACACACGCCTAAGTATATTCAATCTTAAACAATTCAGACAATAAATTTATTTAAGTCTAGACGAAGGAGGAAGGGAATGAATATTGTGTACACCGTTGTACAAGTAGAAGCATTATATAAAGAGGGACATTCCATTCCAAAACATATTTTATTAATAAAACTATTTTTTGTTCTTAACGCCAACTTATTATCTCGCAGACTGATAATTCTTATATTATAAAAATGAAAACATATACATTTTCAGCAGAAAATACATTTAAAAAATGTTTAGTGAAACTATTAGATATCAATCAAAACAGATATAATTTTGTATATATTTTGAAATTTAACGAACATTTTTATTTATTTTAAAAAAGATTGATGATAAGCTTTTTTTCTTCTTAACATCAGATAGATATAATAAATACGATTATTCCTAGAAGTATAAGTTATAAAATATTACACCAGACTTTCGCTAAGCACCATTTTTCGATTACCATAATTTATGGTAAAAAAATTATCTAAAATCAATGCTATTTTTGTGTAGTAGGCTTGCCACCACACGCCGCACGCGATAATATGATATCATAACAAATTTGGGAACTAATATTAGGTATATTAATAATATTCTGGATCGCTGAAAGCTATATTTCTATAAATACATTAATAATATATATTAATAAATTAAATACATTAATATTAGTTATTGGTACTGTTACTGGCGCCCGTGACAGTTGTAGCCAGTACCCCCCCCCCCCCCCATAAATGCGGCCCTGGTACTACAGTAAGACAGTATTAAATCAGATAATGTTGATTCGTCGAATGCGTTAATTACTTAATTTATAAATATACTACCAATTTTTTCAACTTATATTTTTACGTATAACAAATTATATATAGCTATTAAGTACAAATAGGTATAAAGAGAAAATAAAAATTTACATATAAACGGGCAAATCTTAAAAATTTCTAGGCAAAACGCAAACTGCCAATAAAATGAGCAAAACCCCAGAGAAAAATGTCTTATTTCGGCTTTTCCCCTGTTAAAACCGTAAATTTTTATCGTAAAGGCAAAACCATAGCATCTTAAATATTTACGCTAATATTAAATAAAAATAATTAGAAAATAAATATTATTGTACAAATATAATTTAATACGTTTAAACAATAATAAAAATATTTTGATATTAAGTACTCGTATAATAATAAAAATATAATGCTATAGGTACTTGTATAATGTTAATTTAAAGAATTAAAAATATTGTACATTTAATTTTAAAAATACGATGGTAAAAATATTTTTTTGTTTATTTTTTATCACACATATTGGCACTTGGAACTACACAAAATATTTTGTTGTAACATTTGCATTTTCCCGAATGCACTTAGTTTTGCAAGAACAAAAAATAAATCCTTTTCCTTCAATTAATGGATTTTGAATATTAGCAGCCGTCAATGGTATTTCGATATTCGGTAAATCATTGCTAGTAATTAATTGTTCCTTGCACTGAAATATCTGGTTTCTGACGTATATTGATGACAAAATTCCATTTTTGGTTCCTGTCGTCAATAATACTTAGTATAACACCTACCATATTATATGCATCGACTTATCATCTACCTATCAAAACAAAGCACTGGAATTTTCACTGTTGTTTCGACTATTAGAGGAGAAAATCGATTTTCATTCATTGATTGCATTTTTTTTCGTTTGTGCTATTCATCCACCAGGAGCTATTTCCTGCGATTTTTTAAAATTTTGTTTTTTTTAAGATTGGTTTTCAAAATATTTTTGATTTTCATTCGAAACTTCCATTTTATTTTTATTTTTATTTTCTACAAATAGTAGTAAATCATTTTCGTCATTTAGTTACATTGTTTATTACATCATTGGGTAAAAATTACACTATATATAAAAATGACAAACGTTATTATTTGATTTAACATTAGCGTAGGTATTTAAGATGCTACGGCATTGCCAAAATGTGGTTGTTTACAATTCGGTTTGCCCCGGTAAAAGCCTAAATATGACATTTCGCCAAGGACTGTGGGTAGTTCGCGTTTTGCCCGGGCATTTTTGTAGTTTGACCGATTTCGACTTCTAACCATAATATATATATATATATTCGCTTAAATTGTCAACGTTAGGTTAAGGAAAGTTGTATTATCAGTGGTTACAAATTGTGTGATAAACATTGGTTAAACAAAACTATGGACTTCTTATCACGGGTCTTTTTGTCCAATCAAAGAACACGTAAGCAATCAATGACGTCAGCGGTTTGCAGGTTGCTTGCACATTATCAGTTATAATTATCTCGCCGAAAGAGATTTGAAACCGATCGCATTCATGTTACCTCTTCAATATTGAAGTCGGTTAAATGTTTTGTCTATTGACAGAAACGGCTATTCAACTTCATTCAAAATGATACCCTCGAAAATAAATTCTATAGTCGCACTCTTACTTTCCGTGTATTACATCTGTTCGGTGAGTTCGATCGAACTGACATTTGAACTCCAGGACAAGGCGAAGGATTGTTACTATGAAAATATTGAGAAAAATACGTCGACCACGTTGGAATATCAAGTATGCTGTTGACCAGTTCAACGTTATTGTTTGTCACTGTTAAGAGCTAACCATTTCTTCTCTTATTTCAGGTAGTTACTGGTGGTCAATATGATGTTGATGTTATTATTGAGTCTCCAACCAAAGAGATTTTGTATAGACAAGTTAAATCACAATTTGACAGCCACACATTTCTAGCACCAGTAAGTGGTCCATATGCAATATGTTTTAGTAACGAGTTTTCGACATTTTCACACAAGCTTGTGTATATGGATTTACAAGTTGGCGAAGAAGTTCCTCTTCCTGGCATCGGAGAGCAAGTGACTGTTATGACTCAGGTACACTCGCAGTCTTTCTTTTCCGCTTACTGAATTTATGAAGTCAGTGATAAATGCCATTTTTTTATTACTTTATTGTGTCTTTTAGATGGAAGCGACATCGCAAGATATTCATACATATTTAAACCAAATTATTGATTACCAAACTCATCATAGATTGAAAGAAGCACAGAGTCGTAAACGTGCTGAAGATCTCAATCATCATGTGGCTTTATGGTCAGCTACTGAAACTGTTGCTATATTACTCGTTGCCATTGGGCAAGTATTTATGTTAAAAAGATTTTTTTCAGAAAAAACACCAACACAAATGCAATGCAAGTCAATGTATTAAAACTATTAGGTTGAGAGTTAATGTGTATAATAATTACCAATTTAAAATGATATTGTCTGATTTCTCTATGTGTTCTATTAAACTGTATTTACAAGAGATTAACAATTGAAATATAAAATGTTTGTTTTAACTTATTAATAATGATTTTTTTCGTAGTTCAATATTTTATAAAATTTTTTTAAGATTATTGTGTAAATATTAGTTAAATAAATAATGATTGATCATTGAAATAAATAATTTATCCTTGTATTTGGTACATACATTTTGTATTATATGTAGGTATGTTAAAAACAAATTGTTCACTTAATATCATCTGATAAATACTGCAATATACATTTATATATTTAATAAATATGACATTTTAATATTTTTTTAAATGTTATACTTTATATATGAACTAAATAATGTTTTGTCTATACATTATATTTATTATTATATAAATGTTTTTAAAATCTTAATGTTTTATGTACCTACCATTTAATTTATAAGAAATATAATAAATAACTACTTGGATAGACATCTTATAATAATTTGTGTTTTAGTGGTGTTATTTTAAATATTTAAGGGTAAATGTCATGAATAATAAAACTAATTGCAGGAATTTAAAGATTTTTTATTTATATTTATATGAAAATAAAATGTATTCTCTATCAACATGATTAATTACCAGAAAATTAATTTTTATTAAAAGAATTTACTTATGGGGAAATTTACTCAATTATTTCGTGTGATTTTCTACCACACATCTATCTATGTTAAGTGTTACTATTTTAAACTGATACTTTTTATTCTTAACATGATATCTACTATCATAGAAATAATATATACTTCAATTTTTTCTAGTTATTAAAACATTTATTTTAAACTGCGTCCATACCAAAGATACATCTGTCGCCAACAAACTTTATGAAAATGTTTCTAAACTATTGGTGAAAAAATGTTGTTACCGGCCGAGTAGCAGTAAACTTCAAAGTATGTTTATCGACTACGTATCGGCACATCCAGACCAGTTGACTGGACTATCAATAATATCTTATTCAATTCCTTCGATTTTTATATTTTCATCATGCAATTGTATTATTTTGTGTTCAGCCAGTCAAAAGCATTGACGTGAATTGAAGCGACCTGTTAGTTTTAGTAATTTTATATATTTAATTATATATTTGTTATACATGATAATTCCTATTTATTTTTAAGATTAGTATTTTAAATTATCCATCCCTTCCTCAAAAAAATTAAAGAAAACCTGGGCACGCTCCTTTATAGAAATTATTATGAAATAGTGCTATAATATACCTTAATTCTCCAGTTAGATAGACGTCATCATATTGTAGATCAATCATCAAATTATTACCACTATATTGTTTCCTCGCTAGAAGAGTTGAACCTACCCAAAATCTTTTTTTATTTTGGATTATAAACACACACGCAGCAGCAGCGATCGAAACTTCATTATCGAACCACATTTTGATAAATAATAAATGTTTTATACATTTGTTAATCTGTTCTGAATGCGCGTGATTTTAATTGATGTCCGAAACATTCTGTTGGCGAAAAATGTTTCATGGTGTGGATGCAGTTTTATAAATATAAAACATTCACTATTTTATGAGTTTTGAATTCTTCATGAAAAGAAAAACAATGTAAGTAAAATAATATATACAGTTAAAAAATTACTGTTATAGTGTTCTAATTAAACACAAAAATATAGTAAATTCTTAAAGAATTTAACTCCAAAAGTTAACCATCACTGTTGTTATATTAACTTCAGAGGCGTGTTTAAGGGAGGGGCTGAGTGAGCACTGGATCCCTAAGCGGAATGTGCCTCCAACAATATCATGCCAGGATAGTAAAAGTCATGCGATCTGTACTCATTACCTACAGACAGTTTCAGTACTGTACAGTAGTACAATGTACGTGTTTTTATTTGAATTTTAAATGCATTATTATTATTCATGTCTAAAAAAAAAAAAAGTTTCACGATTTAAAAATTTGCTGTGCTCCCTCGGCCACCAAAGTCTGAATACACTCATAATTAACGTACTTTGTATTGATGTACAACTAGTTTAAATTATTTTTATTTTTCCTTCGAAATTAAGGTAAATAGTCAATAGTAGAGCATAAAGTTATTAGTGAGATGCAGGGTCCCTATAAGGGGGGCTGATGAACCTCGAGTACAGGGGCCCGGCTATTTTAAGGGCCCGTGGGCCTGTTGAAATGTATTTGTTATTTTTGAAATTTTAGTAGAAATACTTATTTTACATTAAATAATATTGTAAAATAACATTATACATATATTTAGTTACCTTCTTTGATAGTTCAAAATGCGGATTAACCAATGATTACCTAGAACAGCGGTTCCCAAACTTTTAGAACCACGGAAACCTTAAGAAATATTTTTTGTTTCGTAAAACCCCAACATCTCTAACTCCAACTTAATACCAATTCTGTAATTATTTGTTTTTGCATTTATTTTTATTATTGAAAAAAAACCAATAATCCAAAAAATGTTTTAAAGATAGTTCATGATTATTGTTTACTACAATTACTGTTCTCAATATTCAGGTACATCTCACGGAACCCTTAGGTTCCGCGGAACACACTTTGGAATCGCTGACCTAGAAATGAATGGATTGGCTTCGACAATCAATTTTGACGAAATCATTACTGAGTTCGCTGAGCTTAAGCCCACAATGTAAAATTTTAACTTAAAAAAAATATATTAAATATAAATTAAAATATACTTATAGGTATATATATATAAATAGTAAATTGTATTTTTGGAAGTTTTATTAAGGCCCGGACAAACATTTAGTATAGGGACTCGAAATTGTATCTGGGGGCCCTGGTGCATGATTATAAATTTAACTCAAGTTTTCTGTGGTATTAATGTTGGCTAAGAAACAAATATCGCCTAAGCTATGTTATAAAAAGAAAATTTAATCTTTCACAAACGCCTTCTGGTCACAATTGTGTTACTTTAAATTTTCAACCAATAATTAATTTTCTAAATATTTTCTACTGTATACACTGTACTATTGTAATCCTGTTGAAGCCAGGTGTGGATCAACTATCATCAAATATAGACAAATAGGTACCGTGGTATATTTGAATTGTGAAATGCCTCGTCTTGAAATTCGAATCACTGCGAGAACCCGCCTAAAACGTAACTATAATTATGGAAGTCTTAATTGTTATTTTATGATGTAAACGAATTATACAAAAGGTGTAATATGCTTCGACTGTTCTATCGGTATCTAAGTGCACTTCGTTATACTCCTGTCGTCAGAATATTACGCATAATTAATCGATTTCGTGATAATATTATCACGGTTTTTCGCATCTTATCATTTATAATATTTATTATTATGTTCCGTTTTTGCTGTGTTTTAGTATCGTTATCGACATTGTCTAATGTTTTACTTGTTTCAATTTAGTGTTCAGTTATAATTGTAGTTGATTTTCATCTATTAAATTGCATTAGTAGCAAACGCGAACAAAATTTATTTTTATTCCCGTTAAAACATATCCACGGAACAAAATGAATCGTATATTTGGAAAATCCAAAGAAAAAGCCCCTCCACCAGACATGGGCGCCGTCATAAAAGGAGTAAATGATTTACAAATTATTTCATTTGTGGTAAACTAATGTGTGCTGATAAAACGTTTAAAGGTAGACGAACGTGCTGAATCGGTTGAACAAAAAATAAATAGACTTGACAAGGAATTGAAAAAACTTAAAGATCAAATGGCCAAAATGAGAGAAGGCCCAGCCAAAAATTCGTTGAAACAAAAAGCTTTAAGAGTTTTAAAACAAAGGAAACAGTAAGCTATAGTATATGTTCCACTACTTATGAATTTATATATTTAATTATATTTCCACTTGATATTTTTTTTTATCAGAATTATACAATTATTAAATATATTGCTTAATTTTTAAATCTAATCTTGACAAATTTTATTAAGTATTAGTGTAGTCCACAAAGAGCGATAAGTTTTAAACTGAAATTTAGTTAAATTTTTTTTGTATAGTAAATTCCAAAAGAATGAATACTTTTTCAAGATAACGGTTTTGATGGAAAAGTAAAACCTTTTAATGATTTTGATCAGCAAAACTATTCTTGCATTTTCTGTAAACAATATGCCATGAACTAATGGTTTTGCTTATATTTTGACCAAACCGTCAATTATTTGCCTCTCAATAAATCTGGGTTTTTAATAATACAATTAAAACATTTTTTCATCAATTCATTAAATTAATTCTTAGATATGAAAGTCAAGCTGAAAACTTAAGAAACCAATCATTCAACATGGAGCAAGCAACTTATGCAGTTCAGTCATTAAAAGATACTCAATCTACTGTTGTAGCAATGAAAACTGGAATGAAGCAAATGAAAAAAGAATTTAAGAATATTAATATAGACGACATAGAGGTGAATATGACAATATTAATATTTATCATGCTTTACGTTTCTACTTGTACAATGAAAATTATTTAAATTAATAAATACATTTTATTTAGGATCTCCAAGATGAAATGGCTGATATGTTAGATCAGTCAAATGAAGTTCAAGAAGCATTAGGTCGAACATATGGAGTACCAGATATTGATGAAGATGAACTTAATGCAGAACTTGAAGCAATAGGTGATGAATTAGCTTTGGATGATGATACATCTTATCTGGATCAAGTCAATGTTCCAGATAAAGATCCTGGAGGACAAAAAGAAAAAGAGCCTAGTAAACCTGGTGAAATTGCAGTTGATGAATTTGGTTTACCAAAGATACCAGCACAGTTTTAAGGACCCATTAACACCATTTATAAGATCAAGCGTTATTTATATAATTTTATTTGTGTAATTTTTTGAAGTTTATTTATTTTATTATCATTTATCACCAATTATGAATGAATTACATTTATATACATAAATAATTAAAATAAATTTGCAATTAACTTAAGTACTGAGATTAATCTTTAGTTATAATTATTGCAAATATTGAGTTACATGACGATCAGCATTACTGCAGATAAGACCTTGTGTTACTGATAATTTGTTTATTTCAGTGTTGAACATACATAATAACTGATAAATATACTACTCTATCTAGTAATACAGAATTATTTTTGAATAAAAAATTTGCTAAAGTAGTTGCTTATTAGTTAACAAGTTTCACTGGCCAGTTCCTTCATGCAAAAATCAGTTCAATAAGTGTTTAAATTAAAATAACTGGGATTTCATTAAATAATACAACACATTGTAATTTTTTTTAAATTTTTTTATAATATAAAATCATATTTTTAATTAAAATATAAATTATTGTCTTAGATTTTAGTTATTTTTAATAAGCTGAGCAAGATTTAAATATCAATAAAATGTGTCATCATAATAAGTTGGAATAATATTAGTTCAATAAATACATTATAATATCAAGTTATAGTTTTACAAGTATAATAAATAATAACAATAACGAGTGTAAAATAAGCATATAATTGTTATAGGTAGGTGATATAATTATATTTACTACACATTAAAAAATAACAAATAAATGGCAGTTAAATAAATTTGATTAAGATTTCTAAACAAATAAATTATTAACATAATAATAATATTCTTAAAAATTATATAACACTATCAATTTTTGTATCTACAATGTTGCATGAAAATGATTTACTAAAATGTTGTAAAAAATAAGGTAATACATCTTCAACAGAAATATCTTTATTAAAAATAGAACTAAGAGAAGTGACACCTTTGCCGGGTAGACCACATGGTACAATATGATTGAACCAAGATAAGTCAGTGTTACAGTTTAAGGCAAGTCCGTGAGTAGTTATGTATCGACTACACCTGATACCTATGGCACAGATCTTATTATTATTTATCCATACTCCAGTATCTTGTGTAGTAGTTGCATTAAGACCATATTTTTCATTGCAAAGGTTTATAATAGTTGTTTCAAGATTTGAAACATACCATCGAATACTGGGTTGAAAGTGCTTTAAATTTAGAATTGGATAGGCAATTAATTGTCCAGGTCCGTGAAAAGTAATAAGACCTCCTCGGTTAGTACGTTTAAACTCGGCACCTAGTTTAATCAAATTGTCTTCCAGTTTGGAATCATACATTTGTTGCCTAATGCCAACTGTATACACAGGTTCATGTTCGACAATAATTAGATAACCATATTCACTTAGGGAAGCAGTTTTTAAAGATTCAGATAAATGGTTTTGCAATTTAAGACATTGATCATAACTCATTTGTCCCAATTTCAATAATTTTATTAGTCTAGATTTCATGATTATTTTACTTCAATTTTTTTTAGATGTTCATACAGTATTAAGGATATCTAAAATTATAAACAGACAATAATTTATTAACTATATGTGATAAGCATAGTTTTAATATAAATTTTATCATAGTAAATATACTTACATAGGCATCAGTAGCTGCATACATACATTGCAGTTGGTTTAAATTTGTATCATGCCAATTTCCCATCCGAATATTATGATCTTTATTTACATCTTTTTTTAACTGTTAAAAAAATTATTTTTAACTTCTGCTTAAACTGTTAACATTTACAGACTTACTAAATTTTGTACCAAATTAACCATACTCCATATAGAACTTGTATCGAAGTTTAAGACTTTATTAGCGTAAGAACCCAAATCAATAACTTTACTTAGAGCTCCGCTGACATCAATATTGAAATCTTTACTGAGTTTTTTGAAATCACTGAAAGTAAAGAAGAAAATTACTATAATAATCATAAGATTATAATACAATCAAAATTATTTACTTTTTAATGTAAACACCTGACCATCTAACCCTTGGATGATTAATCAGATGAACAAATATAGAAGGAAGTTTCTCAATATAATATACCTATATGCATGATTATTAATCAAAGTAGTTGAATTAAATGGATCAACAAGAAGAAATTATAGCTACCGAAACATACATGGAATAAATAACACGTGGAATGGTCAGTACAAATTTGTATGAGAGCAGTTTTTTTCTGTTTTCCAATAAAACTTACAGGCCATTCCATATCAAAACCATACACGACTTCGGACATTTCATTGGAATCAATTTGGGTCCTATATTTGATAAAAAAAATATCATTGAATCAAGAACAAAACGCGTCGATATTCACTAGATAAGACTTACAAAATATCTTCGGCATATGATGCAAGGACATTAGCAAACGCGCACCATATAATTTTCCCTTCAAATTTGATAAATTCTTTGGTCGGTTGTTCCACCCTTTGAACCGGGTTAAAGTGTGTCGTCTTTTGGTTGTTCTACAGTACAAGAAAAATAAGATATATAAAAATAGCTCCACGATAATTGTGTTTCAGAATTGTTCATGGCTTATTAGAAAACAAAATTAAACATTAAGAAATATTATGAACTGGTATGAATTATTTTTTCGTTTACTTTTATCTCGTAGATTTCCCTATTCGGCCACGAAATAGATGTATGTGAGAGATCACTAGCTAGTCACGAAACGTGAATATTGTGGAACAATATATCCGGGTAAAAACAGCCGGTTTTCTTACCAGTTCGGTCATCCACTGCGGAACGTAACGTGTCTCGTTGGATTTATTCCCTGACATCGCGGTCGACGGTCGCTTGTTCTCGGTCTTGACGTGATCCTCGTTCGTCGATTGACCGCGTACGGCTACAACGAACCGAGGACACAGAAATAGTGTACTTTTGCCGGGATGGAACGCAACGGTCAGCGGTTGTTATCGTTAGGCAGGACGGCCGGAGAGCGGACGAAAGTGATATTTTTTCAAAGACACTGAACACACGTGACGCACTCCGGTCAGCTGCTGGCGCGTCGGCGCTGATAACGTTTCAGGTTTCGCCAAGGTCGCGCGCGAAAACGGCACAGCAACAGATCGGCCGGGAAATTCGAAAAACAGCGGAACACGACGCGACGAAAGGTTCCGGGAAGACGGGTCCGAGCACCTGCCGGCCGCCCGTTTTACCCGTCATCGACGTAGCTGTTAGAACCTGCTGCACATTTCGGCTTACGGAATCCCGTTGCCAACCTAACCCGTTGTCAACAGAACACGCGAGCGGCGCGCGCGACAGCACCTACGACCAGGCGGCGGGCGGCGGCAGAGGTGGCCAGCGGGCAATAACAAATAACACGGTGAGTCGGCCGCACTCGACGGCGCACGCACTATCATCCGTCCCGCTGATGTCGCGTCGTTTTCTCGTTCCTCGCGTTTCGCACTTGACCACCGTCCGTTTGAGCCGTTGACGATCCGCCTCGTTCCCGTCTCGATTTTTCCTCGTTCCCGATCCGACCGGTATTTCGGCTAATCGCACACAAACGTACACACACACGATGCCTGTGCGCGAACGGTAATTGAAACATAAATTTCATATTATTTTAATTTTTATTACTATTATTATTATTATTACTATACCCTTGTCTGTCGTCGGTGTCGTCCGTTGGGCAAACTGTTCCGACGGTCCGAACATCTCCGTCTGGTATCCCGGTGTTTTACCCTCGAAAGTTTTACAGTGATCTTCCGCGCGTGATGTTCTTTGTTCTCCTATACCGAAATGTTGTCCATTCGATCTTTGAGTCGAAGGACTTGTACACACTCGGTTCATTCTGTTATTTTGTCATGAAACATGAGTTCAATGATCAGTTATCTTTTGAATACGGCTTTTCCGTACTTTCGAAGTGTATGGATTTTCTGATGGTTCGATTTCTAAACTTCATTCTCGTAGGTAATTCGTTTGGTAGTACATATGTATATATTATGATTCTGGAATTTCTAGTTGTACCGTGTTTTTATACGTAATGTACGATATAATTTTTAATAGCAAACCTATGACTGTACTAAGTGTTTAGTTTTGTCTAAGGAAAAACCACTTGAGGTCTATACGAGTCTCTTATCAATGTTTTAAATATTTTTATTTTGTTTCTAATATATTCCAGTTGATCTTCTTTTTTTATATAATAATACAAAACTAGGTACATAAAAAGTTATTTAATTATAAATTTATGATTTTAATGATTTCACGGTTATAATTTCCACAAATTCAGTTTCTCATAACTAATTATTATTGGTCATTAAATATGTTTGAGGTTGACTATGATAATTTATTTAAATTGCTTTTTAGAAATAATTATTATAATTAATATTAATTAATAGATTTTATCATAAACAGTCATAGAAACTACTTTTGTTCTTCGCCTACGGCAATTATATTATTTCTTATTGAATAATTTCTCTACTTTATTTAATTGTTCCTAATTGTATTGAGTTATCTAGCTATAATTTTTATTAAATTAAAAATCTGTAAAATATAAATAATTTTGTTCTAATTTATTATTATTATTTATTATTTCATTTTATATAACTAAAAATTAAAATTAAATATTCGATCAGCATATTTTTATAAATTATTTATTTAAATTTGCTTACTTAAGCATATTATAGTTAGGTATGTTTTATTTTTTTATGTTGTAAATTATAAACAAATAGTTATTAAAATTGAAAATTGATAAGTACATAAAAAAAATTGTTCAATTAAATTTCATTGTTATGCTCAACATTTTAAATTAAGTTTGTTTGGTATGTATATTGAAACATGTATATTAATATTCACAATTTTCAATTACTAATTTTACTAATTTTATCATGAACTTTAGTTTTTTAGTTAAACATGTGTTTTGGTTTTTTGCAAATAATATCAATGTGTAATTGTTGTTTGCTAATTTACTTATGTTTTTTTTATATTTTATCATAGTTAGAATTTATATATTTGTTTGTTTTTATTATAACTCAAAATTCAGGAAATGTGAATATGATATATGATTATTTAAAAAAGTATTATTTTTATAAGACTACTGTAAATTAGTATCATGTTTATTATAAACATTAATATATTATGATATTGTCACATGTCAAATTCCCTATATAATATAGTAACTAGTGTATTCTTAAAATAAAAGTATGAATAAAATATCTTTGAATATGTTACAACCTGGAAATGTTTACTCTTAAATTTAAATTTAAATTTACATAAATTGAATGATTAAGAAAATATATTTAAGAGCTAAATATTAAAATTAAGAAATTATTTTCTTTATTTTATAGAGTATATTTTGAGTTTTTAAATACATATTTTTTATAAAAACTGCCCTTAAAATGAAACGTATAGACATTTTTATTTAAAATAGTTTCTGCAGTATTCAATTTATCGTGGTACTAATGCTTTGAAATAAAACATCTTGAAATGCTCACATATTTAGTGTATTAGGGTTTCATACAATGCCATCATTATATTGTGTTACTAGTATATAGGCTGGCTGATTGATACTATGGTTATACATTTATTATTTTCTTTACATCTTTGACAATGACTAGTTATTCTAACCACAATAAGTCAATGTCCTTTTTTCCTGAATGCTATTTTCTTCAGACATTCCATTGTAATAGTTTACTACTATATTTTATAAACATTTTAAGCACCTTGTAATATTTTATAGATGTATATACAATACATATACATTATATTACCTAGATATTATAATGAGTATATACTTGATTTTAAAAATTATTATCTTTCATAAATTGTTTTTTGTAATTTAATACTTATTGACTTAAGATGGTTAGAAAATATTCAAATTTGTATTTTATTATGGTATTAATGTCTGTATTTTAAATAAGTATGTGTATATATTTTAAAATTAACACAATATTATTTAAAATAATAAATTGTTATGTTCAAGTTTTTATAATAATTATTTATTTGAAATGTTATATTATGTATAATGTTTATATTATGTAAAAATTAGTAGGTTTTTTTCTTTAATTTTAGATGAATGATTGATATGTACAACAGCAAGTAACATACTATCCTTATATGGATTTTAAATATTGTACACTCCTTACATATTTATGAACCTTGAATCTCCTTATTTGTATTTTTAAAGTTTTGAAGGTTAATAACTGTATTTATATGATAGTTTAAAAAATTGAATTAGGTCGAAATATGAACATTAATCTGATGAGCTTTAGACCATGAAATCATCTTACCCTTGAAAAACACATGAATTACCTTTCTCTTTGAAATATTTATTCATTTTACTATTAAAATCAATTATAAAATGCAATTTTTATTATTTCAGTTAAATTACTATTTTATAGTTATGAGATATGACACTTCCAGTTTCCAGCTATGAAGAGCTATTGGAAACAGTACGTAGTCTTAATCAAGAAACTAGACAACTTCAAAGGCAATTAGATACACCATTGTTAACTCCACATTTATCTTTTGGTAATTTATCTCAATCTAGTAGTAGTACCTAATATATATATATATATACATATATTATTTCCAAGATAATGTATAAACTTATTAAAGTATATTATTATTAGTTGATGAAAACAGTGGAATGCCATCAAGAAACGTATCTTCAAAGATGACTTTATCTCTTGAAAATAAAACTAGTAGTGAACAGGTAAAAATTTGATTTATACATTTTTATCCTATTTATTAGTGATTTAAAATTAAATTTATAGTACATGGCTCACTTTGAGGAGTTTAATAAGTGTTTAAGAATGTTTAACAAGGTGTTATATTACAAGTTATTCAAAAATTGTTGCTATTCATATTTATTTTGTCATTATGTCATATTATAATATACTGGAAATATCATAGGCTTGTCAGGAAATCACCTACTTAAAAATAATAATGTAGACATTAAAATAAATGTTATTGTTTCTAAGTGGTTAAGACTTAGTCAACCATTAAACAATAAGACATACAAATATTTTGTATTGTGTAGTATAAATTATCTAAGGATTCTCTTTTACATGAGTATTATGTTATGTAATTTTTGTTCGATAAAAAAATCATGCATGGTTACCTAAATTTATATTCAACCATATGATGTACTTTTGAGTATCATTTACGAGACAAATTATGAAAATTTTTAGTTGACATAATAATTTTTTTTTCTTTACTTATTTTATTTATAAAAGGTAGAAAGAAACAATTTAAATTAAATAATTCATCTGGTATTTTATACTAGGAAAACTGTATTTAAAGGTAAATTGTAAATTATGTTATGAAATTTCACAATTTTAAAAATTATTAATTGTATTATTTTTATAATTTTGTTAATAATTAAAGTATTGAGACAATAGCTGTTCTTTTATAAAATGTATTATCAATATCTATAGAAAAAAAATAAATAGTGTCTCTCTCTGGGGGTAAAAAATACCACTTTGTCTGTAACAGCTGATTGCCACTCCCTTTCCATTCACCCTAGTTATAATATTGATCAGAATGTAGAACCCTTATACGCAATATACCTTGAAAGTTTCCCTATAAAAACACAGTTTAATTTTTTCATTTGTAAAAATTTCTTTTTTAAATATCAATATTTGTAGAAATTTTCTTTATTGTTTTTATTTATACCTACATATTTTCAATAATGTATTCTGCTAGGCAATCTAGACTTCCTATTCGTTCTTCTTCATCATCTCGTTCTTCTCATATATCTCCATCTCCTTCTATTGATCATGTCCGATCATTATCCAATCCTTCTAGAACGCGCTTGAGTGTTATTAACAAGAACGATAATGATCACATACAAAACAATAATAACAATCATATTTCAGAGAGTTTTAACTATGGTAAAATAGATTTTAATGATGGAAAAAATAATAATGTTAAAACTAACAAGTAAGTTGTATAGCCAAGCTTTTATGGGCTATTGATCATCACATTATTAACTTAATTATTATTTATAACACGCATTATTTTAAATTATATTCAATATTTCCACTTTAATGTCAGACACTCCTTATCTAAGCATCAGTATTCGTTACCATACAATACAGAAGACAATAGACAAGCTAATAATTGGTCAGTCACTCAATCATTTTATGACAACAAACACATTGCTAAACATTCTTACAACAACAATAACAGTTACCTTAAAATAATAAATGAGGTTAGCGTGAGAAGAATCAAATTTCAAATAAAATCAAATTAATATTTGATCTATTAATAATTTTCTAATTTTAGGATCAACGTATAGATAAAGAAAAAAGATCAATGGCTGAAGATAAAGAAAAAGATGAGGCTAAAATTTCTCCTGATGTAAGTTGAGCATAATTTAAAAACTAAAATTGTATTAATATGTTCAGTTTGTAATTTAATCAAAATAAATTATAAATTTAAAGGGTTGTTTACCTACTCCTCCTGGAATTATGGCTGATAAAAAATTTAACATGTGGCATAGTGTAGGACCCACAAACATTTCTTCTAATTCGTCCTTATTACGATCTCAAACATCATCATTAGAATGTGAAAAAGAAGGTCTATCAATGAGATCTAATAGCCAACAACAATTGGGAGCCAAAGTAGAAATTGTTTATAATCTTTTGTCATTATTGGAAAACAATAATTCAATACAATCTTCTTATCAATCTGTCTCAGTACTTTTGGCTATGAGCAAATCACCTGATTGCTGTGCAGCAATGCGACAAACAGGTAAGTTGTATCATAAATTGATTACATCTTTTTGCTTTAATTTGTAAAGATTTTATTTATAAAATGTTGTTCACAGGTTGTGTTCCATTGCTTGTGCAAATTGTTCATGATATGAATGCTGATATAGTGGTTCGACACAATGCAAGTCAAGCATTAAAAAATATTGTTACCTTTAATCAAGATGAAAAACAAGGTCGTAGAGAGTCCCGTGTTTACAAGTTATTGGAAAGTATGAGAGAATACTGTGATACTCCAGTTGTGGTTCTTAAGCAACTGGATATTAGCAAGCATCCTATCACTGCAATTGCAGCATTGATGAAGTTGTCTTTTGATAGCCAACACCGATTTGCTATGTGTGTATTAGGTAAGTTCATAATACTACATGATATTCTTTAATTTTTTTTGAATTTAAAATATTAAAATAATAATTTAATTAAATATTCTTCTTTTTTTCAGGTGCCATTTATACTGTTACTAGATTAATTCAAGTTGATCACGAAGTTCATGGTAGTGAGCCAGATTTAGAACCTAATTCAGAATGTGTGACCTTAAGGCGATATGCTGGCATGGCCCTAACCAATTTAACGTTTGGCGATGCTACTACTAAAACACTTTTATGTTCTTTTAAACAGTTTCTTAAAGTATTGATTTTACAGTTACAAATACAATGTGAAGACCTTAGACAGGTATGTATTATTATTATTTTCTATTATAATAATTATAATTATTTTGGAAAATTTACATTGAATTCAAATTCATTGGTATTTAATTTTATAAAGGTTACTGCAAGTGTTTTACGTAATTTATCATGGAGAGCTGATCCACAAAGTAAAGAAATATTGCGTAATGTTGGAGCAGTTAAGGCATTAATGGAAGCTTCAATGAAAGCAAATAAAGAAACCACAATGAAGTCATTCTTGTCTGCACTTTGGAATTTTTCTGCTCATTCTCCTGAAAACAAAGTATTTTTTATAATTTAAAAAATAAATTTATTACTTTTATTTTTATTTTGTTATTATTTCCAGGAAGAAATATGCAAAGTTGAAGGGGCCATTGAATTTTTGATAAAAACATTAAGTGGAATAGGTTCTTTTAAATCAGTTACAATTATAGAAAATGCTGGTGGAATATTGAGAAATATTTCATGTGTTATAGCATCCCATGAAGAATATCGGTAGATAATCAACTATTGGCTTTAAAGTTCAATAACTTAATGTTTTACCTATACATAAATTTATGTATGAATAAATTTTTTTATAGTGATATTTTAAGGCATCACAATGTACTTGAAATGCTAATGCAACAACTGCAGTCTCCAAGTTTAACAATTGTAAGCAATGCTTGTGGAACTATTTGGAATTTATCTGCACGTAATATTTGTGATCAAACAACAATGATTAATTTGGGAATCATACCTATGTTACGGTCGTTGATACATTCTAAGCATAAGATGATTGCCACTGGTTCATCAGCTGCTCTTAATAATCTTATGAATGCTATGCCTGCATATAATGCTATTCAAGGTTTGCTTAATTTACTAAAATTTAGTAATAAATATATTCAACAATAGTATTCATTTTTAATTATTATAATTATTTTATTTAGATATGAACATAAAAATGAATACTTCAGTGGAGAGTACTTTGCAAAATTCTAATGATACTCATTTGAAAGACTGTGCTGAAGGTACAAAACCCATAGCTAATTGTGATGATTTGGAAGTTCCTTTGTATGTTATTTGTTATTTTATGTACAGTTTAACATTTTAGAATTAATTGTAATCACTATTTTTTGTAATAGAGAGCCAAATGTAACAAAAATCTCACAACTTTTGTGTAACAACATTGAAATTAGTAAAAACAATCCAACTTCTATAGTTAGAAATGAAGAATCTTCTACTTCAAAGCATAATGAAGAATTTGTTCATCACACTGATCAAAATGTTAGCTTCGATGAGAAAGAAAAAAAGTCATCCATTGGGTATGCTGAAACTTCTTTAGATGAAGCAACTAACTATAGTTTGTTATGTGAAGATGATGATAATGGTGAAAAAGCGTTAACAGGAGATACCACACAGACTTATTGTACAGAAGGTACTCCTTACAATTTTTCTAATGCAGCTTCATATACTGATTTAAGAAAATGTGGCATAGAAGATAAGGTAATTAAGTTTAAAGGGTTTTTTTTTTTTTTTTTAATGCAATAGTTATTTTTTAGAACCGTAATGAATCTGATGGAGCAGAAACTTCTGAACAATGTACTAATATACATAATCCTGGAAGTGATACACCTAATGGTGCTCAGTCCAAGGATGAACAAAAAGATGGTAAGATTATATAATGAATACTAGTTTATAATAAACATGGGTTATACTTATAATTTGAGTCGAATATTAAATTATTTTAATCCTTTGTTGAACCAGTGGTGTATTCTCAATATTAATTACAATTTTTTTTAATAATTTTTTTTTTTTCTGTGGAGTGGTCAACTTTTTTTATAAGTTCATTTAATTGTATATAGAAAATTAATATTACAAAAACTTATTATGTATAATTTTCCGGTGATTTTAGGTTGAATACAGGAACAATGATGGAATTTACTATCAATAATTTATAGTGTTCCATTTTTATTTTAATTATGATAGTTTATATTAATTGTATTAATCGATTTTTTATATAAACAATAATACTTTATGTGTTCAACTTTTAAATCTTAACTGACCTCTCAAGTTTAATTTGAGTTTTAAGATTTTGAATTGTTTGATACATGTGTATGATACATTTCATAAATAATTTATAAATGAATCCTAAATAAATTATATTATATAGTGCTGTAAAATGTTAAAAATTCTATTAATTTTAGGTAAAATGGTAACATTTGAGACACCAATGATGTTTTCAAGAAGTAGTTCTATTGCTTCTCTTGGAAGTTGTGAGCCACAAGAGGGTTATATTGGTAGTTCAGCAGTTAGTGAATGCAGGTATTTTTAATTTCATTGATTTTGTTTTAAATATTGTACATTTGTATTGTGTATGTATTTTTCAGCCGTGTCACCAGTGGTTTAGTAACACCTAGTGAAATTCCTGATTCACCAACTCCAACTGTTCCACCTAGTCCTCCATGTTTTAAAAGTAATTAAAAATTATTAAAAAATAAAAATTTGTTTATTGGTGAAATTCAAGATTAAAACTAGATGTTTGATTTCCCTTATTATGTATATTTAATAATTACATTTTAATTTAATTAAATTTGAATTAATATATAACAGCGTTTCTCAAACTGTGGGCCGCGACCCCCTAGGGGTTGCGAGAAGTTTTATTAATTATACAGATTGTAAGAAATTTATGTTTTTTTTTTTAAATTCTATAGACTATAGAACTAATAAAAAATATTTAAATATTTAAATATTAATAATAATAATAATAAATACTTTATTATTATTATAAAGTAGTAAATAAGTAATAAAATAGAAAAAATTTGTTTTTTTAATTTATTTTTATTGATTCTGTAAATGTAAAACCATGGGGTCACGATATATTTTTGGAAGAAAATTTGGGTCGCAGTCCTAAAAAGATTGAGAACTACTGATATTTATGCTTAAAAAATAATCTTCAAATATATTTATAAAAATCTTTTTAAAATGACAAATAATTTCCTTAAGAGGAAAATATTTATTCATTATATTACCAATTTTTAATGACTATAAATTATAATAGACTATTAATTAACAAACATAGATAAATAAACAACATTTTATTTTTACTGTTTATTTTGAGCCCTGAATCATAATTAATAAATTGTTTTTAGGTAATAGTATTTTTGATGATAGTTTAACAATTTTTAAAGAAGAAAAAATGCCTGGAAAAAGTTCAGAATGTACAAGCTTAAGTAGCTTAACCATTGATGATGATTTACGTGAAGTAAGTGATAAATAATATACAATTTTATTATTCAATATATTTTTGTATAACAATTATGAACTTAATGTAAATAGATGAAATCACAATATATTCAAGGACAAAATGAATTACCGTCATTAAACAAAGAAAATAATGTTATGTAAGCTTATAATATTTTAATTTTTATTCTGATAAAATAATTATCAATATTTAAAATTAAATTATTATAATTTTACTTTAGGAATGTTATGAATAATAAATCATTAAGATCTCCATCTTCAGATAAGACCTCTAAATCTTTTCAGTTAAACCAAGTCGGTTTCCTTGAAGTAAGTAAAAAATTGAAGTATCAAATAAAAATAAAAAAATACTGTTAAAAAGAAATTGAATGTGATTTGTGAATAACAATAACCGTGAATAATTGATTGCCGGTAGTGTTATTACTGCACAGTAGCTGTTAGCTTTCACTTCAGTTAACTGGTTCATTTGTGATGGGTCTTGTTTATTTAACAGTTGTTACATCTTATCTTATAAATATATAACTAACTACAATTAATTACATGTTTATTGTTTTATTTGTTTTGTTGCAGTCACCCTCTTCTGCATTTCCTTACTTGCAAAATAAGAATCCAGGATTTATTCCTCACGTTAGGTAAACACAATTAATTTACATAATAAAAATATATTTTTTATAAAATATTATTAATTACTTATTTTAGATCCAGACTTCCAGTTATGGTGCAAAACAATAGCCAGGTGGCAGACAGGTGTTCCGAGTCTATTTTTTCATCTAACAGAATTACTGATAATGAGGTACTATAATTTATATTAAAATAGTTTCTCATGTGTTGTCAAAAAATAATTTAATTTCTAGGGAGATGAGATTGTTGGATTTTGCACTGAAGGAACTCCAGCTAATATAAGTTCAGCTACTTCACATTCAGATTTATCAATGATTGCTCCCTCAGAAGACGGCTCTGAAACCAATGTTATTCTTCGACAGTCAATGAAAATGGTAAATATTGATTGTAAAATTATGAATTGTATACCTATATTTTAGTTTAAAATTATTTTTATTAAATTTTTTTTTAAATTTATATTTTGGTACATTTGATACACAACAATTTTAATTTATAAATAAAAAATTCTTTAAAATAGTTTTAAAATATAAACCATATATATCTGAACTGTATAAAAAATGTAAATAGTAGAGTTGTAGATATAAAATAATAAAATTAAAAGTTAATAAAAAATTTTAAAAAATATTTCAATATAATTTGGTTTAATACATTTTTTTTATATGTCATCTCATATGTAGGTGACACTTTTATTTGCTTATAAGTTATGAAAAAAAATTGAACATCCCTGTACTAGTATATTAATATGAGTGTTGGCATGGAGTAAACTAAAGCAATCCAATTTTCATAGAATTAAAATGATCTGATATATGCTTGAAAATAATTTGTTTTTAATTTATATGTACAAACATTATAAATAAATATGATATTTTAGGTTGGTAAAAGACGGTTATATCAAACACCTAGTAATAAACCTATGGGAAATTTAAATCTTCAGTTTAATCAAACATTTGCTGTATCCACTTCGGAAAACTTATCTTCCAGGTTTGATTTTTTCGATTACAAGTTTGATTACTTTTTAGTGTTAGTTTTATGCTTATTTTTATTGGTTATTTATATATTCTAGGTCAATGTTATTGGATTCTCCTTCAACAGAATCTCATGTATCAAATTCTGTTAATTCATCTGAAATTGAGGGTATATATATTCATTTTCATTATATATTTTGAATATAAAATGAGATTATCTTGTGATTATGTTTTCAGATCCTGTGACAGTTATTAATAATCGAATGTCAACTGATTCCATTGATAGCGAATTTTCATTGGATGACTCTGGTAAATGTGATAATAGAATACCTAGATCTCATTCTTTACAAGATGCACGCACATTGAATAGTGAACCAATGTCTGAGGACGAGGATGATGATGATAATAATGCTTTGTTGGATCAGTGTATTAATGCTGGCATTGAAAAAATAACAAATTTAAAATTAACTGAAGAAGAATTACCAGAGAATGAACAGCAAGAATTGTTGAACCAGTGTATAGATTCCGGTATTAAAATGTCAGCTAAATCCAAATCACAAATGCCAGTTAAAAAAAGAACTAAGAAACAAGATGATGATCTTACTGATGAACAGCAACAAGAGTTATTAGAATCATGTATTGCAGCTGGGATAAGGAATAGCAAGAAATCTTTTAAAACAAAAAATGATGATTCATCTGATAGCGATCAAGTGGCTTTGTTAAACGAATGTATTGCGACTGGTATGAGTAATTTACAAAAAAGCAAACCCAAAGAAACAAATGGTACATTAGAAATAAATGATGAAGATTTATTGAAAAATTGTATTAGCCAAGGTATAAAAAACATTGAAAGAGGATCAACTCGAAATAAAAGAGAGATACCAGTATTTAATAAATATAAAAAATATTACACGCCAAAATCAGAAAGTGAAATTAGTGAATCTACTAGTACGATTACTCCTGGAGATTATGTTTGTGGAGTTAAAAATAAACATGATGAAAGCGACGAATCCACATGGAAGGACGATGAAACATTGACATTTTCTACACTGACAAGCTCTTACCAAAGTGCTAATACTGGTGAAAGTTCTAGACCAAAATTAATAAAATTGGATAAAGGAGAAATAGGTAACACTATAGATATTAATTTTATATTTTAAACTTATGTTATTTTCATATTAGGTATTATATCATCATTGGATTTTGAGGACACACACCTGGATGCAATAAAACCTCCTTCGGATATGGATAGTTTACTATCTATGACTACAAGTGTTCAATCAAACTGTGGTTTTGATAAAAAACGAAAAATTTCTAATGAAAGAAATGATTCATTAGGAAGCTGTACTAATCTTGAGAATATTAACCCTCCATCATACATGGATGAGTTCACTGATTTTGAGATGGAAAACAGTACTACTAGTATATCTAGTATACATTCTGAAATAGTAGATCAGTCAAATGGCGCTCAGTATTATACAGCTGTTGATGATACAACTTTAGTTGATGATTTGCCATCATCTGAGATGTCATCTGACCCTAATTATTCTAGTCCAGCTCAAGTTAGGCGTCGACTAACTCCTAAACAAAAGCGTAATATGAAAAAAGAAAGGTAATTTAACTATAATGCACCTATGTTAAATTTAATAATAATGCAATTATGTTAAAGATGGTAAGTATATAATTGAAAAATTGTAATATTTATTTACAGGTATAATACTTATACTATAACTTCTGATGATAGCAGGGAAAACTCTATGGAACCTGAAACAAGGCCTTCAACTGTAAACGAGTCTGACTCTCATTCTTCTGAAGATGCAGTAAAAAAAATGTCACCAAAAGAAAAATTCCAAATAAAAAGATCATCAGAAAAAGATAGATTTCGTACACGAACATTAGCTGATTTAGATTTAACTCGTATTATACAATCTCAACCAGTAGACAATGAATTTACTTCAACAGAACATTCAAGAAACGGTGTTGATGAAAGTACCACGTCCGAAGGCACAGATGGTTATTCCAGTGACGAAAATGATGTAATTACTCCTGTTGCTTCAGCTAGAGTTGTTAAACCCACTGAAGTAAAGGCTGTTAGAGGTAAGAAAAAATCACGTGGAAGTGGAATACCGATAGTAGCGCGGAGTAGTCCTCAACCAGTTTCTACAGTTTCTAAAAGCTCACAATCAACTCCTACAAAAAAGCCAGCTCCACTGAAAAGGCAAGGTACATTTGTTAAAGAAGAATCACGTATACCAACTCCAGGATCTTCTGGCAAGAAACACACAAGTGTGCCCAATTTGGTTAAACCTCCTTCTAATAAACAGTCAGCAAGTACACGTGCTAGTGGGGTTCGTAATTCAATAAGTAATAATAGTTTAAAAAGTAGCAGTGACCAGTGGACGGGTAGTAATAGTAGTCTTCCAACAATGGGTGGAGTGGCAAAAACAAACAGCAATACTAGTTTAAATTCGAACATATCAGCGACAAGTTCAGGATGCTCAATTAGAACAGCATCTGGTCAAAAGAAAGAAGTCGGTAGTAAGATAGCAACCTTGTGGAAAAAAGTGGAAGACACCAAAAAAAAAAATGTCATCAAGAAAGATAATCGTGTTTGGATTAGTTCAAATATGAACAATCGTATTTAAAAAAAAAAAATTAAATAGTATATTTTATTTACATACATATTTTCCTTCCACTTAATAATTTTCCTTTTTATATTTGTTATTTATACCTTATATCTGTTATTTTATCATATTGAGTGATATTAATATTTTTTTCATTTCATACACCTATTTTTTTTGTATTCCATAGAATTTTGTAATTGTAGAATCTTATCATAGATTATAGTCTATAAATTAAGAATAAATTCTGAACAGGTTTAGTATTAACAATTTCCAATATTACAATAAATAGTAATATTACCAATAGTTAGTCAGTATATATTTTTTTGACATTCAATACATAAATTATAATTAATAAATCATTTTATTTTTATTATTTAATTTACTATCATTTTATTTTAGGTTTATTTGAGTGAGATTATTTATTTTATTGTTTTATTTTTCCATCATAGTTTAATTTATATTTTTATCTTGAAACAAATCATTTAATTATATGATATTATATAAGAGTAATTATTATCGTTATAAATTATCTAAATTTTTGAAAAATTTTAACTATTTTTTTAGTTGAATAAAAAAATTGACTTATTAGATCAAACCCAATAAAATGTGTAACGATTTCCATTGTATCTGTAATAAAAGACATTTTTTGAGACTGATGCAAGTTTAAAGTGTTTAACTTCAGTTTTCTTATTATCATTATTATTAATTATTTTTAATGTCAATAGTAATAAATATTTTTGTATGATTGGTAGTACAATATTATAGAATGTTATGTGGGATTCCGCTTTAAGATGGATGAAATATTCAAACAAATAATAAATGAATGTTTTAGAATACAATTTTAGAAGAAAAACAAATGTGTTATTTATTTGAGTGCTAACTTTTCAGTTACCTTTCCTTGATTTAGTTTTTATTATACAAGTATATTAAAATAATAATTATACTCCTCTGTTAATTTATGTTATTTCATGAAAGTGCACATGTTACACTATGTAAGTATGTATTTACTTATCTCTTTACTATCTATTTTCTTTGGCGTTTACTACCTGAGGCGTATTTAAGTATTTAAATATTAGATTACGAATTTTATGGAAGTACTACTAGCGACCATAGAAGACTCCAATTTGATCATCACTGTGTTAGGCTTTTGCTTGTTTAGTGGGCGTTGAGAGTAGAGTGGCTGTCAGAGGAATGAGAAACTAGTAGTATAACAGGAGAGTGGATGAATTATATCCTTGTGAATAATAATGCCATCAATTATTTTCCCAATATTGAGATTGCTATGATAATATATTTCTCATTAACAGTTGCCAATGGCAGTGGAGAGGTTATTTTTAAAGTGGAATTATTTTACGCTGATGATTATTGAGGTGATATTTGAACACAAATATGAAGATATAAAATATTTCAGTACCATTATGATCATGGTTAGACTTAAACAAATTGACCACTTGCATACACATTTACATTAATGATTATTTTTATTGTTGGGTATATAATGTATATTGTGTGTATTGTATTTATTATGTATTATAAACAATTATATTGTATATAATAATAAATGCTGACTACATAATATTTCTTTTTTTACTGTTAATTTTTTTTGGCGATACATTATTAATAATTGTTTTGTTTTAAAATGAATTTAAGAAACTTAAATTTTTTTTTTATTTAATAAATATATCTTTGGAGAGGGTGCAAAAAAAATTAATGCACGATCACTAATGTATACATTTCTGTACTCATATGATAGGGCCTGCATTATAGGATAGAAGCCAATAAATCTTAAATACGGTCCTGTTACCTACCTTAAAAATTGTCTTAAGTTTGTTATACAAACTAAATATAGACTTATAGCAAACAAAAAATGTATTTAGCATTAACATAGTAATGGTTAATAAATTAAAATATAGTCGTTTGACAGATATATTGAAATGCATTTGGTTTCGATTTTAATGAATTATGTATCATGTTAATCCGTAATACCATTGATTTTATAATATTATAAAACCAATGGTTACACTATGTTATGTGTAGTATCAAATTGTAAAGTGTCATAAGCAACGAAAATTATCGGCCAGAGAAAAGATAATTCATCAATACGTTTGATTTTCATATTGAATTAATAAAAAGAAAAAAAAAGGCCTTATTAAAGATCAACTCCTCCTCTTTCCGAATTCAAATATTAAATGTTAATCAATAGTGAAAGGTTCGACGAATTTTCGTTCTCGGTAAAATGAATACATATAAAAAAGTTTATTTCGTTTTTCTTGGAAAATTTCTGTATAACATCGATTTTATGTTGAAATACTGCAATCCAAAGAACTTTTTTTATTGTGTATGTTAAAAGTACAACTGGGTAGTTCGAGGAATAATATACAAAAGTTTTAAAAATACGGTAACATTTACTGCATACCGGTTTGCGACAAAATCGAATATTTGTTTTCTTCGTTGCTCAAAATCTAATAATTGTAACATGTAATTTTCATGGAAGCTTAGCTTACCTCACGGTTTGCTAAACATGGTATATATGTTAAAAAAATTTTTTAGAGCTATTTTAAGACAATTTAAATTTTCACGTTTACATAGATTTGTTTTTGAAAACGTCGATAAAATAATTTTGTCTTAAAAATGTATTATATATAACATCATACATATCTTTAATAATGAAAGAAAAAATTGAGCTTAATATTAAAAAAAAAAAATTACGTGAGTTGAAAGCATTAAATTTTGACAAAATGATAAAAATTATAAAAATACGTTACAATTTTTGTTTTCAAAAATTCTTAAAACTTACAATTTTATACTCAAGGTTTGAAAATTAAACACAAAATTTTTCATATAATTTTCTTTAAAATCAAAAAAAAATTTAAAAAATACTGGATATTCGTTGCAAAATGAAATTTTTATGAAATTGAATATTTTAAGGAATTTCCATTAAATGAAATAAGTTATTTAGTTTAAGACATTTGATAGTTTCGAATTATTTGAATGAAGTTTTTGCTGTTTTAGGCTTTTGAAATTTTCAATCTTCTCAAATTTATGGTTTTAAACAGTTTAACGTTGACTATACTTCATTAAAATATCAAAAAACATATTGGATTTTGTTTTGTAAAAACAATGCGACTTATATTATTTTTAAATGCGTGATTCAATTATATAAATTCTATTTTATGTTATTTCATTGTAATTTCCCCAAAGTCCTACCAAGTTTACCTAAAAATAATTGCAACCATTTAAAACATTTGGAGTTTTAAACATTTTCTTTAAAAAAAAAACTAGATTTTCATATTATAACAAATCTTTACCTATATATATATATATCATTTAAATCTTATAATTTACAAACAAATTAAAATTAGGAGTTAGAAAATAGAACATGATCGTATAGTTACTTATTTTTCTCGTCCAATTAGTGGTTTTCAATCGATTTTTTTCGAATTAAATCAATAAAATAATTAGTGAAATAAATATATTATAAACAATTATTATGAATGATAAAACACTGAGGAGGGACATATTTTTCTCTGCATACTCTGAAAATATTTTTAAATTTTTGTTTAAAACTACGTTTTTCTTGTTATTATATATCTGAATGCGTTTTTTTGTGATATTTACACCATTATATTGTTGTATGTGTTTTTGTAGTCTTATATTTGTATAATATTTTTGTTAAAAAATTATAAGTAAACGAATAAAATACCATCAAGATATTTCTATATAATAAATTCCTATATGAAGGTAGCGCGAACCTGGTTCATTTGCAAGACTACATAGTTTGACCTACTGGCTACGTAATATATGTAGTATAGGCTCTATCTATTCAATTTACGTTGTAAGCGTATCCTGCATTATTGATTTTTCAATATTCCAGCATATTGTTACTTGAAATGGATACTTCAGTTAATGATAATAACGGAATAGAATAATATTGTTAAATACAATTTTAATGTAAGCCGAAAAATAATATAAAATTAACAATTTAAGCTTTAAACTTTTCTCAAAAAACTATAACTGTACGAGTGATAATATAATAAAAACGTTAACTCTAAGTATAGTATAAAAAATTAAATAATGATTATTTATTTATTGTATTATGGCATTTCTGAGTTATATTGCTGTTATTGGCATGTATAATAGAAATCTTCAATGGTTAAAATGCTCTTCATAGTGCTCTTACATTAGTAGTACAGTTTTTAAAGTTATTATTGATTGAAACATAATCGATTTGGTTTCTATGTTTTTCATCCGGGGATACCCACGTTAGGTTAGTTATGTTATTAGTTAGTTATGGATGTCTTTACGAGGAAACATCGTGCTCTTTATATTCCTTTTATTCCTCTTCCCATTGCAAAATTTATTAGCAAATTCCCATTACTGTTGGCTTTTTTTATGTAAACTATGGCCCCCAGTGATTGCTCTGTGTTACAATTCTTGTCCTACCTTTGTATTTTAGTCTCCTATGATTATTTTAATGCTTCCCGATGAAGAGTCATAGACATCTTTTAGAGTAACATAGAATTATTCCTATTCATCATCTTCTGTAGGCGCATGTACATTAATTATTACCATATCTAAGCCATTCGTTTTTAAAGTTATAGTCGATATTCTTGGATTGATGTCTTTGAAGTTTTAACTCTATATATTATCAGCTTATGTACAACGAATCCTGTGCCTAACTTATGGCCCTTTTCACTCTTCCCATTAAAGATAGTGGTTTGTGAGATTTTCTCATTTCTTGCAACTTCCCATCTAACTTCCTGCAGAGCTAAAAGTTTTATTCCATATTTTTCTATTTTTTTAGTTAAAGTTAATGCTGATACGGCTTTATGCAGTGTTTATATATACTTGTTGCCCCAAAACATATTTCCGTCCGTTTTTCTAATTAATCTAGTCCGAGGCTTTGGGTTTGAATCTTGATTTTTTTAGAGCAGGTTATTAGCCTGCTGCAAACCTTAAAGGAAGACCTCGACAATTCTAGAGTTCTCGGGTGGCTATTGCAACATATATTGCAGTATATTGGGCGATTGGGACGCAACTTTCCCAACGCCGTTGACTGGGACCCGCGGGACTCGCACAACCGTAA